AAAGTGTATACAGTGAGTCAGCAAATCCAATGGAGTCCAAAGAGTTCAGGATCCAGGCCATAATTGATTGTTGGATCATTTTGGGTCATTAAATTCTGCGAAAGTGTACGGCTTGCTAACCCTGCAGTCACAGAATGAATAGAGAATGAAGTTTGTAATATGGCTCATAGTTAACGTTAGTCACGATAACAAATTTTGAACTGCTATATATATATATATATGAGCAGTGGCGGCTGGTGGTTGAATTTTTTTGGGGGGGCGCCTAGGCCAAAATTATAAATATATATTATAAATATATGTATTATATGAAGGCTATGTAGTATTATATGTAGTATTATAACAAATGCCAGAAACAGACAGTCATTTCGGTCCCTATTGGCTGAATTATATCTGTAAGAGTCAACCACAGCCAAGCGCAAAGTTTACACAGCAGCACAATCTGATCTGCCATGTACACCCAACCCCAACACACAAAGTAACACACCGTTCACAACCAGCCCCAACAACTAGCCCCAACAACCAGCCCCAACAACCAGCCCCAACAACCAGCCCCAACAACCAGCCCCAACAACCAGCCCCAACGACACAACCTGACACACCATTCACAACCGGTCCTAACAGTCAGCAAAACTACAGTAAGAGGCTACTCACGTCCATCGTCAAATTTGTCCCAAACTAACAAAAACAAGACTCTTACCTTCTCCAGAGGACTGAAGCACAGTCTGTCCTCTATCCTTTGTCCTGTTGGCTCTGTCTCCAAAAGTGTATTATTGTCCAATATGAAGAGATGAACCCATGGTCCAAGTACCGGTCCCGTCAGGTTTGCGACACTCTGTCGACAGCCAAGTACATGAGCTGGTTATGAAATTAGTCTTAATCCTACTTCCCACTTAAATCTGAAAGTTACAGCCAGTTCATATTAGCTCTTGGGCACCAGATGGACTTAAACCCTCTGCGCACTACACCCAGGTCAAACTTTTCTGCCCAGAAACAAGCGGGCAGAGGCTGACAGAGCAGCAAGCTAGTGCCCCGGGTTCCGGCAGCGGGTCTGTTTGTGTGTCTGCTGCTCTGGGTTTATTTAGCATTATCTCCCTCATGCTCTCCTGTGTGGAGGTTTAGGCGAAAGTAAGTAGCCGCCACTAGTCAGTGTGTGAATCAAAATAAGAGTCGTAGGATATTACCTCAGCCAATACACTCATTTCAGCTTAATGCTTCTTTTCTTGCTTGGCAGAAGGATCCAGCTGAAGAGAAGACATATTTCTCCCTAAAAACTGTTCCTCGGTCTCACTTTGACTTGAAGCTGAACTCGGCATAACTGTATAGCACACAGCTCTGTTGTTTTCCATTCTTTAGCCTATCGCAGTAACATGCTACCATTTACAAGTTGGGGCTGGGGAGGGATAGAGCTAGCATGCTGAATCACAATAGGTCAGGTGTGTGATAAATGTTTATGAAGACCAATCACTTGACATCAGGTCTCCCCATCAGGTCCCTGCGCCTCAAGACGTACTTCAGGACTGCAATGTAAAGTCATGGGCAAAAGCACCGTATTGACATCAAACTTCAGGCTCTCCCATAGAACTCCAATGAGTTTGCTCCGACCCAGCAAATTGAAAGGGCAAACACTTGACTCAAATAAAGTGATATGAGCAAATTAACATGATAAAAATATGTCTATGCAGATACATGTTAAATTTTAAATATGAAACATGTAGCTTAACACAAAATAACAACTTTATACATTTTTTATCTAGGTCAAGTCAGGAAGTGCAGCACACTTGCGCCTCTATTGACCAGCTGCCTCCGTGTATGAGTCATAGAAGTTATTTGTTCAACTTTTTAGATGCACTTACTTGTGGAGGGTCTGCCATCTCCTTGTCTCCGTGGAGATGTTGTTGCTTTGTCTGGAATGTAGTATGACTTTAAACATGTCCATCATATTTACTCAATAACATGGGTTTTTATTGACTTAAAAATGTGCATCTTACTGTGAGTGAGATTGCCTCTCAAAAGACCTGTATCTGTAATTTGGCCCTATGGCGTCACCTCCTGTCTCCAGAGAGATAAATAAGCATACTGTGGAACATTACAGGCAATATCTCCTTGGAGAGAAGCATGCAATGGACCCTCTACCAGACAAGTTACACAAAGCACTGTAAAATGTATTGTATGGCCTAAAAATAAACAAAAAATCCCCAGTAGTGCAAAGAAAAAGTACACACAATAAATACTGACCCCAAAAATATTGTTCCATTTTTATATATTGAACAAGAAGTTGGTATAGTAAGTATTGTGACGGATCTAGTTATGGTGCTGAATGTGGACTTTACTTTCAGTGTGTTTAGCCTTGAAGGTGGATTTTTTATTTTAATTTTGACTGACTTTTGACTGAAATGTGCCAATGATTATTTAAGACTGTGACATCTACCATTGAGGTTTCAAAGTAATTAGATGCACATGACATTACAGCAGTCTAAACTCCTAAATAGTTGTATGAGTTATAGGACTCAGTGTGGAATTTACTTTGCAATTTACAGTGTATTTTGTAAATCACAAATTAAAATGTTAAGCCTTGACACTTTCTTTTTAATTCAGTAATACCTAGTGCTCAATATTGATATAATGTACTGTTTAACTTATTTTACAAAGACCATGACACCAAGAGCTGAGATTTTAAAGCTGTCTTCATAACATTCTTAACTCTAAACACCCATAGATTAAAACTGTGCCTAATTTCTATGGTTGAAATTGCTTTTCAAATGTCAAAAGAAAGATGTTGGTTTATGGTTAATGGTTAATATTTGTGTAATTACTGGGCTTATCCGTATGAAACAAAAAACATCAAAATTAGGGGTGTCAAATTATCGCGTTAATTGCGATTAATTAATTACAGTCATATTTAGCGCGTTATGTTTTTTAATCGCGTTAATCTCATTTTTAATCTCTAACTTTAGTGTTTCTGTATGCGAGTTGCTTTATTATAAAACCTGTTTTTATGTGTTGTTGGGACAACAACACATACACACAAAAAAAACACATTTATACATTTTTTTATTTCGGTAATTCCACTCATTGCCGGAAACTCACACAAAACGCGTGCAGTAAGAGCGATGTAAACGTCATGTTAACGTTGGCGGCGTCAGTCACACAATGGACGAGATCGTAGAGCCAGTAGAACAGAGGCAGCAGCGCACAGGTAAAAACACATTCGTGTCTTGGAAATTACTCTCCCGACGTGAAATATAAAAGAAAATAACTAATATAAAATCGCCTACAACTTAAATGTCACTGGTGAAAACAACCTGCATAGGCTCATGATGTCTGCACTACTGTCCTATAGTGACCTGCCACATGAGGGGACACGCACACAAACACACACAAACACACACAAACACACACACAAAACACACACACACACCTTCATCATCGTCATTAACCTGAGAACGCGCGGACCACGTTTCCTTCCGTAGACACTGCGTGGACACCGACGTGCTCCCGTGAGCCGCGTGTGGATCGTGTTTTCTCGCATACGCGGCGTAAACCGCGCTTCCTCCTGTGCGCCTCTAAACCAGAACTAACACCAAGACTAAAACCAGGACTTATTCAGTCCAGGACTAAACCAGGTCTAAACCAGGACTAAACCAGGACTAAACCAGAACTAAAACCAGAATTCAAACCAGGTCTAAACCAGGTCTAAACCAGGTGTAAACCAGAACTAAAACCAGAACTAAAACCAGGTCTAAACCAGGACTAAACCAGGTCTAAACCAGAACTAAAACCAGAACTAAAACCAGGTCTGAACCAGGACTAAACCAGAACTAAAACCAGAACTAAAACCAGGACTAAACCAGGTCTAAACCAGAACTAAAACCAGAACTAAAACCAGGTCTAAACCAGGACTAAACCAGAACTAAAACCAGAACTAAAACCAGGACTAAACCAGGACCAAACCAGAACTAACACCAGTGATCTCATATATAAAGCATTTCTCTATCAATAATATTTTTAATATGGTTAAGGAAAGACTGGACTTTTTATTGTCTTTAAGTAGACAAAAGTTATTATGTTCAGATTTCCTCGTCTTTGCTACTTTACAGCAAACAGTTTCTTATTCATGGAGACTTGGGCTCAACAGCCAAATTGGAGAGATTTGTTAAACAATAAATGACTTTATAAAGTCATTTTTTTTGTTCTATATCAGTCTTTTGATCTGCCACAATAATGTAATAATGAATTTAAATGAAAATACCTCAAATTGAAGGCTTTTCTCAGCAATTTTTAGGTGAGATTAAAATGAGATTAATTAGATTAATTAATTACAGATCATAATTAATTAATCTCTCAATGAGATTCATTTGGTTTTCTGATATTTTATGTTATTAGGTTCTTTTTACAGACCAAGAGTTTGTTTTCATACCTGACAGTTTCGACTACTCATTTGCGATCTTCCTCAGAGTGGTCACGTGACCTTGCTGTGGCGTGTGGTCAGCTGATTTATACAGGTTTTGGCGCTGTCTTCCTAGCAGTGGAGGCAGGATGACAGCGCCATCTGCAGTCGGACTTCCTCAGGACAGTATCCCAGGTGTGTGAGAGTAAAAAAGCCTGGGATAGTGTGCTGAGGAAATCGGACTACAGATGGCGCTGTCATCCTGCCTCCACTGGTAGGAAGACAGCACGAAAACCTGTATAAATCAACTGACCGGACACGTCACAGCAACGTCATGTGACCACGAAAACTGTCAGACATGAAAAACAAACTCTTGGTCTGAAAAAAGAACCTAATAACATAAGCAATATTTAGGTTCAACATAATCTACTTGAATATTTCTTTCAAAAACAGTAACATAACCTATAGAGTTATGCAGAGCCCAGCCCTCAATCTGAAATGATCATGTTAACGCAGTGTTTAGTTGCTAATTTGCCGTGTCTATATTTTAACTCACATTTTTCGAATCTTCCGCACTAAATTGATTATCTTTGTGGCTCTTTTTTTTTTTCAGGATGACCAACACTCAGAGCATCAACATCCAGATGCTGGGCACCACCACCATCCTGGTCTTTTCCAACGTGAGTGAAGAGGATTATGGGAACTACACCTGTGTGGCCTCCAACCGACTGGGCATCCAGTACGCCAGTGTCTTCCTCTTTAGTAAGTACATACACCTGCCTCTGGAGTATTAGCTGGTATGTTCTTAATTTGTAACATGCAGAATATTATAATTTTGTTTTAGATCTAAAATTTGAACATCCACCGCAACACTCCAAACCACAATTCAAATCTGACACTGCGTTTTACCAAATCATCTTCATGTTATAAAAATAAAGTATGCTATAAATAGAGTTTAGATTTGGCTCAATTTGATATTAACCATTCTTCTAGTCATTAAATTTAACAACATCCCATAAAGACTAATATTATTGTACCATGACTGTGTCCTCACTCGGCACTAAAAGCAGAGTTCACAGTAGTTATTTTAAAACCTTGCTTAGGGGTTTTAAAAATTGTGACACACACAATACAATGTACAATAAACTGGTTGTCAAGGTGATTTCATCAGGCAATCACCGATAACAGTACAAACAACATTATTCTGGTTCATCTGTTGACTGTGTGTAGAGTTTGCCATAACAGAAAGAAATCAATCTCTTATTTTGACCAGGAGATGGCAGTAAAGTCTATTTGTTAGCGTCCTCATGTAGCCTCTACACAGATAGAGAGACATCAGAGAATGACTCAATGTTGGCCTATCACGCAGCGTAGGGTAAAGTCATAAAAGTGTCAGCCTTGTTTTATGGAGCTGATTTGAGCATTTCCTGCATTTGTCCTTGGTCTCACTGTTAAAGTCTCGTATATAAATGTCAGAGGGTGTTTAGCGGTGTTTTTGCATCACCTCCTTGGCACCAGGGAGAGAGGATTTACTGCAGTGTGTTTTGATGCAGTCCTTTGAATACTGTCATCCTGTATCTCGTCACTATGCACTTAGACATTAACCAATCACAGCTCACATACACACAAAACTCATAATCATTATTGAACAGAACTGTAATTAATTTAATAACCATATGATACACAATTTAAAGGTGCACTGTGTAACTTCTCTACTTTACATTTATTCAATTACAGGTGCTTTTACTGCTCAAAATAGCTAGAAAAACAGGCATTCTGACTGTGAGCGGGGTTGTTTCTCCGCAGATCTGACCTGTAATTTGGTCTTGCTTGGTCGCCATGAAGATAGAAAGGTTTAATACTTTACTGTGAAACATTCCAGACAAAGCAAAAACATCTCCATGGAGAAAGGCATTTGACGGACCCCCTACCAGAAAAGTCACATCCCTTTATTTATTTATTTATTTTTTGTTCTGTTTTATTTTCACGAAGGCTCAAGTTGCTAATGTGTAGGTTAGTTCAATTTCCAGGTAAACATAAAGGTCCACTATATAACTTTTCTGGTGGTGAGTACGGCACCTGATTGTCTCCATGGATACTTTATTAAAATGACATTAATCTTGTCTATCTCCATGGAGACAAGTGCATTACAGGTCAGATCTGAGGAGATGCTATCTGAAATGAAACAAGAAAAATTATTATGAAGGAAAAGATCAAATAAATGTAACAAGTTTAGATAACACTTTTTGTAAGCTGTGGCTCACCCAATCACTGAACTGATAATACTTCAGCTAATTTAATATTTAGTTTCTGGGAGCATTTCCAGATCTGTATCAGACCATCTGGAGTACCAAGATCCAACCTGATACTCCAGACTGGGTTTTATCGTAAATTATAGAAAGATTTTTAAGAAATTTATATGAACAGTACTGCTAAATATTTGAAGTCCAAAGAGCAAAATGCAGAAGTGAACATTATTAATCTAACAAACAAGCAAATAATGCACAGGTTCTGGTATTTTCTAAACACAGGAGAAAAAATAAGAATAACTACATTATATCTCAACCATGATACCATGATATGAAATTTTAAATATGTTATATTGTCAACATAAATCTTCAACTTAAATGTTACGATTACTATGAAAAAACATAATGATTTAACAAATATTCGTGATTATTGACTCATAATAAAACAAAAATGAAATCCTTATTTTTCTTTCATTCTACATGTAAATTATCACTCCTCTTGTACGTGGCCAGCATTATATAACCAAACTTTCTTAATGCAAAAGTAATATTATTGGGATATAAATTGTCATATAAAAAAGCACTATACATTTAGGTTTACGTTTTTGGAGTGGAGATTGGATTGAATTTACAAAAAAACTGTCAATATTATTATGGCTTTTCATTATATTGTGACCTGAATGATCCTGATTATTGATTAACCTATAATCTTGAGGTACCTACTCAAGAGTACTACAGAGAATATCGATGATGTCATAAATTTACACTTTTATAATCAATTGGAAGCAGGATGTGGACTAATGACTCCTCTCTCTCTCTCTCTCTCTCTTCAGGACCTGGGACTGGCCGGGACATCAACAGCTCCACCTGTGTATCTAAGTCACTGTGGCTCATGGTGGTCTGCATTGCCCTCCTCTTCTTCAAGTGTTAATAGCACTCTCCTCCCTGCGTCCTCGCCTCCTCCTCTTTCTCCTTCTCCCTTAGCGTCCTCTCCTCCTCCCTCTCCTTCTTCTCACCGCCATCTTGACCTACGACCTTTTACTACCCACTTCCTGCTTCCCCTGGACTGTTTGCATCATGATATAAAACCTTAGGTGCTCTCTCCAAATGGCACTGCTTACTGATGTATTGATATAAAAACAATGGTTTGAGTAACAGTCTAACTACAGCGGCCGGAGGACAGAACAAGCAGAGCAGTGCTACTCAAACCTATTCTTCTGGGTTCAGTTCAAAGCGCTGCGTTGTCTCTGCTCCACTGTACACCGGGGCTGAACAGGGGTGGGTGGCTCTACTTTTGTCTCCATGGGAATGAAAGCAGAGGTGTCTTTGGAAAAAGGATGCCTACAATCATTTGTGTCTAGAAGTACTCAAGACATAAGGTATTCTGTATTTCTTCTTCTAGTTGTATTATGTTATTCTTTTATTATTGTAGATTTAACCTCCTGTTTGACCAGTGCATTTATGAACAATGAGGGAAGTTTCTGCCAAATATACATGAATTGAATCATAAACCATGTGTTACTGATAGACAGTGTATGGTCAGAGACACATCAGATCAGTTTATATTTCAACATACATGCTTAGAAAATGTTTTTAAAATGTATTTATTTATTTTAATTTGTCTTCGTGACAACACATGCGGGACCTTTGGACTATTAACATATGATCCTTTATCCTGTTTGCACTCTTAACACTGCAATCAGAACTTCCTATTACCCACTTATAAGAATTGTATTTGACAGACGAAAGAAAGTGGAGTCTAGTGAGACTTTAATCACAAAATATGATGAAATATGAAAAAATTATTATTTCATGTAAAGCACTTGCCCTGTCTATCAATAATACCACATCTATGGTTTGATACTAATACAACAGAATGTTTCTTTTTTCTGTAATTGTGTGTGTAATACCTACTAGTGATACAAATTCAATGACAGTGTGCAGTTAGTACTATGCCCACTAGATGGAGCAGTCCACCAAAAAACAAAATACCAGTGAATAGATATTATTATTATTATTATCATTATTATTATTATTATACATTCAGATTCTAATGAAATACGTTTATTAAAGCAGTATTTGCATCCTCATTCAGTGGCTCTGTTTCCACGCGCCTTTACCCCTCCATATCTCCTCTTTCTCAGCCAAACTCCTACTTTCAGAAAAAAAAAATGGGAAATGTAGGTTACAAAGATATGTATTGTACATAGCAAAATTTTGTATTTCTCTATAATAAAATACCTTGTTCTGCCATAACAAAACAAACTGGAAATATTAGCCCACTATTGCTTTTGGTTCTATTTTAAGCTAATACTGGATCCTCCTTAATCCGAATGAATACGTTCGACACCAATGAATGACAATGATTTATTTTGTTTTTTCAAAGAAGTGTGTGTGTTTTAATATGAGATACACAACATTTATAATATGTTAATATGTCTTTATTTCTGTATATATAATCTGACATGTTCGTGTCAAAGAGATTTCCTGATAGCAGTTTTATTACTCATTACTCAAACTGGAAACCCACTCTGTCGAATGAAATACAACCATCCATGTGTTTCCCAAACAGTGGGACTGGACCTAGAGAAGCACCAGATTTAGTTTTGGCATGCAGTTACCTGTTTACAGTATTATGGTATTCAATTAAAGGTATATGTGTAATGAAAGTACATTTTGGAATTCAATAAAACCAACAATATATGGCATTTTCCATGTCATATTATATGCTATATATAGTATTTAAAGGTGCACTATGTAACTTTTCTGGTCTGGTGTCTGCCTTGACTTGTCACCATGGCGATGTGACTTTGTTTGGAATGTTTCACTGTATCGTAGCCACAATATCTTGCATCATTCTCTGGCTTTTATTCAATTGCAGGTGTTTCTGTAGCATAAAAAAATACACTGAAAAACATGAATTACTCACCACTTTGCAGAGCTGACCTGTAACTTGACATGGAGTCACATATATCCATGGAGATCTATTTATTTAATGACAAACTTCGGAACATTCCAGAGATAATAACAGCATCTTCAATGAGACAGGCAGGTAGCAGAGCCTCACCCTGAAAAGTTCCATAGTGCACCTTTAATTAATGATTCACTCCACACAAAACTGCCCTGACAACAAAGATGTCCAACCAATGCAGGATGTCCTCTCATTTTCATGTTTGGGTCCCTCTTAAATGTTTGGGAAACACTTTTTCAACACGATTCGATTTCTAAGTTGTGCTTTTGGACTGTATCCTGGGAAAAGCTTGTATAGTCTTTCTAAATGACTTGATGTAAGCTCCTGTTGTCCATCTCTGACCCATGTGTGTAAGTGTACGGCTGAATGGCTCCTCAGAGATGTTCTTTTCTACAGCCCAAACCGGCAGAGTGCAGTACTGTAACCATCTCATTTTGTCTGACATTAAAGACTTGATCCCAGTGTTTTTCTTGTAAACGACTCTCCTCTCTGTGTCACTTTTGTCACGTCTGGTGCACTAGTTTGTACATGAAAGGTAAACTTGGTCAAATCCATGTGAGCTTCTGACAGGTAAAATGTTCTTGGTGAAGTGGTTGATAGTTTGGTAGCGGGGGTGATGTGGTGTCAACAAAACCAGGGCAGAGCGAAAAAATAGAAGTTCTGGTAGTTTTCATTTTTCATGGTGTGGATGTAATAAGAAAACAATAATGATAATAATAATTAATAATAATATATAACACTTGTACAAAACTTTTCAAACTACCCAAAGACGCTTTACATAAATGAATAAATCGAAAATAAGGCAAAATGATGACTCAAGGGAGTGTTTATCACTTTACCACTAACACCGTAATATAATCTAAACTTTAAAAATTGGTATGCTAAATACAGTATGGGAAAAAAAAAAAAAAAAAAACAGCAGGCATCTCACTCAGTCACAGAACTGTACTGTTCTGGGTGCAGTGTTAACTCCTGAGTTTAATGTAAGGCCATCATTTAAAGGGCCCATATTATGTTACTTTCTGATTTGTTATAATGTTGTTTCCTCATGAAAAACCCAGAATTGTGTTTTCTTTCATTCACACATGTTTAAAACACAAATCTTGAATATTTAGGCAGAGTTCTTCTCTCAAACTGAAAAAATTTGTTCCATCTTGTGATGCCATGTGCATTTCACTGTTTTTACTAAACAAAATGTAAAAGCTGTTAACTTCAAAACTACCGCTGCATGACATCACAAGGTGGAACACAGCATTTTGTGATTTGGAGATAGTGAGAATAACAATAAAGCATAACTCAAACATGCGTGAACGAAAAAACAAAATAAATCCCCAGGTATATTTGTTTCCATTTACATAATTTAATTACTTTAGCCCGTTTTGTATATACCATTCCTGCATTACATTATGTTATTAAGTCAGACATCAATTATAAGTTCAACCAGCCAAATATAAACATCACATGTGAACTGACCTCTGTCACAAATTCTGTCTCTGTAGAGATTTGAACATGATTTTTTCCAATTCATTTATAATTTCTTTATCGGGATTGTGGTAATTGCAGTCTGTAATAAAGGTATATGACAAATGTTGGTAAAAAAATAAATAAAACTGTTTGAATTTCATGTGAGTTAACTGAAAGTCAATTTGGAGAAAACATCATCCTAAACATGCAAATAAATAATAGACCTACTCATATTATTTATACACTTTTTCCATTATGGGCTACACCCAAACCCAGCACAAAAAAAAGAAGTGAATAAGTGTAATTCCCAAGCCGTATCAAGTATTGACCAATTGCAAGGTTTCGCTTATCTCATCTTGTAGCTCTATTATACACTTTGGCTCGAAACGGTGTGTTGTAGTACATTGTTTTACCACTAGATGTAGCCATAGGCACACAAATCTCAAGTTGTAAGCGATCTTAGTTAAAGATGTCTAGTGCAAGGACCGCCACTATTTGTCTTAATTATATTGCTTGCCAAGAATATTCTACAATATGGCATTGGACTGATCTATCTTGAATTTGTTATTTTATTATAGGTGTTTTTATTGCACAAAAAATATATGTGGTGGCCTGTGGTGGTGCCGGTCACATTTACTTTTGTAGCAATAAAAGATTTTACAGCTATATTATCAGATATTTATGACACAAGAATTATTTATCAGTATCATTTACAGCTTTTGCTTTGCTATAAATGACCATAAATATTGCCCTATTGCAGTACACCGCGTTACCACTAGATGCCGACACACACCCAACAATACGCTCACCTGTGGAATAAAGCCTTTTCCATCAGAGAGGCGTGTTATCGGCAGCTGGAGATGGACACGGGTGTGAGCAGGTCGGAGGCCACAAAAACAGTCGTGTCCACTGGGAGCACGTGGGAGGATGCGCCCGAACAGAGCCAAGACAACAACATCTCATCTGTGAACGCGCAACGAGCGTCCTCTGGGGAGGTACCGGCTACACCGACACTTTCAACATGGAAACTGAATGTATATCTTTCCATAATGTACAAAGAGGAGCAACCACACTATAGCTAAATAAAAAAAAAATAAAGCATGGGGCTGTTGAGTTTGCATAGACTGCATTTGACCTATAGGCATTGTTTATTAAAAACATGCAACTGAATCTCTACTTTTTTAGGCCTACAATGTGTTGAATTCGGAACCGACAAAGTTCCAAAATGGCTTCCTCTCTGACGAATGGGTTTTTGGTGGTTTCATCAAATTATTGTCGTGGCCCATGGGTTTGTGTGAGATGTAAGCTTTATGTGACTGCATGTAGCCTATGATTTTTAAAAGTCATGTCTTTAAAATAAATCAGCACAGTTTCTGATGGTAATTGGCACATTTGCTTTATTTTGAAAACAGACATTGAAACCATTTGAATTTTTTTTTTCGCATTTTTTCTCACAAGTTTGAACTCCTTGATAAGGTTGAAACTGGACATTGCACTCACTGAAACATAGGAAAAGTATTTTTTGTTTTTGCTCGTTTGATTTTTCATTGACTTTTTTCTCTTTTTCAACATCAGTGCAAGAGTATTTTTTTCCAATTCTTATAAACTGTCATAACAACATCAAAGACATCAAAAAGAAGCCGCCACACCTCTTAAGTTTTTGTGACTGCGAAAAAGTTCCTCTCAGAGGGAGAGTTCCCATCATGCATCTGGTTCGATGGTTCATGCTACTGTTCTCACAATTTGGCAGAACACAAATTGTCATGTAAAAGCAAATTTACATCAGTACTATAGCAGATTTGTATATTCATATATTAAAATGGCAACAGGTCCTTTAGTGTACATGTGAGTAAACACGGTTGTAAAAGGGGTGTAAACCAAGCTTGAAAGTCTCAAGCACAATATTGAGTATAGTTCATTTGGATACAGGAGAGAGCCACCCAACTGGAGCAACACATAATTACATTCGTTTATTCAAATGCGTCAGTGCTGTGTCTTCAGAGAGGCTTGAAAACTAAACTATTAATAACCAGGTTGTGTGTGCGTGCAATTGCAGACAGATCCTAAATGGTAAATGCTAGAAAAATGCGTTACAATCTAAGTATTTGCAACGCACTTTACATGTGTCACTATCCAGTTGGGTGCGTCTGTTCTACCACTAAGCATAAATAGTGTCATTAAATAAAATCAAAGCTTCGTCTTCCTCACCACCGTCATCAACAACACGTTCACAATCAGTTTCATCATCACTTTCTCTTAGTATGAGCCAAAAAACTCCACGCTGGAAACTCCCCCCAACATGAGAAAATCATTGCCACACAAAAATGACAAACAAATAGAAACGGACTGCCTTCGCGCTCAGAAGGCAAAGAGCAACCTTTTTAGATTTTTGTTTTTGTTTTTCGTTGTTTCATTCATTCTTCAGGTCAGGCTTAGTCGTCCTTGGAGTCGGGGGCGTCCGCTGCCTCTGCTGGGGCGGGGTCCTCGGGTTTAGACTCCTCTGCAGCATCTGAGACGAGGAGAAGAGAGAGAGGAAAAGAGAGGAGAGAGTGTGGAAAGGAGGGGAGAGAGGAGGAGAGAGAAAGAGCGGGAAAGAAGGTAGAGGAGAGAGAGTATGAAAGGAGGGTACACAGGCAGAGGGATGAAATGAGAGAGAGAGGGGAAGAGGAGATGGGAGAGAGAGAAAGGACAGGTGGGGTAGGGAAGAGAGAAAAACAGATGTTATAGCAGGTCAGATAACTGTGTTCTGAGTTATAAAAGTGTCCCTCTTTGGTGTCTTTGGAGGTTTATGGTGCATTATGGTGCAAGTGGGAGATATTGAACGTTCCTGATTTAGTTTGAGAAAATTGTTTATCCAGTTTTAAAAGTAAAGTATATTGTATGTAACATTTCCATTAGAGGATCCACCACCTGCTTGGTTGCATGAAGATGTTGCTTTGCCCTAGCCTGATTCATCAGCCAGTTTCACTTCGTGGAAACCGGCTGACCTCGCAGCATTAGGATTCATTCGCTCGACAGTAGGCGGCTACCTGTTTTATTTAACCACTCCCTGCTATTTGGTCGAGCTGTATGTAATGTGCCAGAACGCTCAGTGGTGTAATTGGCGGCACAACAGCAAACAAAGCAGAGAGTGAACATGTCTGTCAACGATCATTGTTGTTCTGCGAGATGAACTTGAGGATAGCCTATGCAGTCTGCTATCGCAGCTCGGGTTGGGTTGGATTGGCTGGTGCGAGGTCTACAACTTCTGGCGTTTTTGCAAACCGTCTAGTGTATTCTGATTCCTGACCTAGTCACTGGAGAGAAATGAAATTGAGCAGAGGCACTAGGTGTTGCCAGCCTGGCTATAGTTTTGCCCAGGAATGTCCCACAGTATGGCATGATATTGAGCTTGCTTTTTTATTAGTTTTTTGTGTGTGTGTGTGTTTTTAATCATAAAACATGTCTTGAAAAACATGCATTCTAGCTGTGTAAGAGATCGCCTCTCCACAGATCTTACCTGTTAGTTGGAGATAGATATATTTTATGCCATACAGTAGAACATGCAGGCCTAGCAGTTATATCTCCATGGAGATATCAGACCCTTCACCAGGATAGTTACATAAGTACTTCATATTACAGCAGAGTGAGGGCACATTGTGACAGAGAGGAAAAACTGGTGCTTAATCCGTTCGTCGTCTACTGATCAGCAAAAACTAAGATTCAAGATAAACGAAAGAAACAAAGAAAAAGAAAAATCACCAAAAAGTGTCAGACATGTGTTACTTAAGCTATTCAAATGAGAGGCAGCACACTCACATCTGTCAGTTAGAGTGGCTTACCAAAAGCCTTACTTTGGTGCATTAGTGAGTGACAAGACAGAATTATGCAAAAACAGCTTATACGCTGTGTTTGGAACTGCCTTTGAACGCACAGGAGAGCAGTTACAGCTTTTAAATCAGCTAAAATGTTTTAACACAACAAATCCAAATCTTTGTAAATGATTCAATATATGTTTCTCTATACATTAGAAATGTATACACTTAAAAAACTAAAATGTAGCCAAGTTAAGTACTTGAATTAAGAAAGTCATGATTTGAGTACTCAAGTAAATCAAGTAAAATGATCTACTAATGGAACAAGACTTTTAGTACTTAAAATATGAAAATACATCTTACAAGACAAGAAAAGTGACAACTCTTTGCACTTAAAATAAGAAACAAAATCTAATGTTGCTTGAGTTTGGTAGATTGTTTTAGAAGTTGAATCTACTCACATAAAGTAAAATGCTCTTAATTTAAGTCGTTTTAACTTAGTGCTTTTGTGTATAGATGTCCATATTGCTTTTTGCAGTGTAGTGTATATTTTGATTTTCCTTTATTTGAAAAAGTCAGAGACATCCAGGAATAAACGCCAATATGTCCCTTCCTCTTTTGGACATAGAGGGATGTGTCTCTCTCTCTTTCTGTGCTAAATCAATGGCAGAAGCAGGGCATAAATCCATAGCGCTGTTTGGACCTCTCCCAAATGGACTTATAAAAGAGAGCTCAGACTTCACACTTTCAGCCTCCTACATTTTTAACACGCTTACACACTTCACTTTCAAACAGAACACACAGGACAAGTCTTCAAACCCAGAGATGTCAGTACAGTTCAATAGTGCATTTAAAGCTAAAAGTGTTTTGTAAATATTATTATTGTAGGGTTTGAGCTGACAACGTGATGCATAGAGGTGAGCAAATTATGAAAAGATTTGTAATACATGTCCAAATAACTGTATAGCTATGACATTGATAGGCTTTGATTCAATCCAATTTTATTTCTGAAGCAAATGTAACAAAAAGGATATTTTAAAACCACATCGCTCAAATGCAAAAGTAGTTTATCTTGCTTTTTTAATCAAAATAATGTAACTTATTTATGCATATTTTTCAAATCTATATTCAAGGTTTGCATTTTTAAATAACATGTTGAGTTGTTTAGAAATGCAAACCTTCATTTGTAGTTCAAAATCAGTTAATAAATCAATTTGTCTGACACTTAAACCTCAACGTATACATTTAGAGACATGTTTAAAACATTTCTGTTGGACTGCCGTAACACCGTTTGAATATTGTTACAACAAAAAACTACTGAAACATAATTTTTGTCAATATCTCCCACCCACCTCTGACTAGCAGTATTCTCTCCTTTGGTGTCTCATATTTTGTGGTTTTGTGAACACAGGCCAGTTTGGATGATGCTGAATAATGTTTGGAAAGTAGGTCACGCAGTTTTGTGAAGCGAGAAACAGACTGCTGTAGTTATTTTGGGTGATACCATTTTGGAGGGAGTTAGCCATTGAAACTGTATATGTAATGTCAAAAGCAAAGTAATCCCTACATGCAAGTTATCTGATGAAAAATCTTTAATGTTGTTTTTGAGCGATGTGGCCTTTGTTGAAGGTCCTATTTTACACAAAATTGACTCTTGTGAGATTTAAGCCATGTTATAATGTTTTTTCCTCATCAAAAACATACTTGGAGTTGTGTTTTGTTTCATTTCATTCACACATGTTTGAGTAACCCTTTATTATTAGCCTACATCTACATCTCCAAAACTAAAAATACTCTGTCCCACCTTGTGATGTTGTGAAGTAGTTTTCAAGTTAACAGCTACCTTTCACTTTTTGTTCAGAAGAGATTTGTAATTCTCGGGCTGAAATTATCCAGATGATTCTAGTGAAGGAGTTTAAGAAGATAGTGGAGCACTTCCTGTATTATCACATACATGAGAGAAGAACTCAGCCTAAACGTGCAAGGTTTGAGTGTTGAATATGTGTGAATGAAACAAAACACCCCTTCACGTATGTTTTTTGATGCCGAAAACAACATTATAACATAGATCAGAAAATAGTATAATCTTCGCCTTTTAAATGTTCTTAAGAAATAAAACTGTGGGTTGTGTAGGTGTGGTGTAAAAATATTGAAATGTCAACATATTGTATCGTTTAATGTGATGATACAGTATTGATATCGGGGGCTGCTTTATTGATATATCGTCAAGAGTATTTTTATGGTATATTTACTAAATTATTTTGTTAAAAAGCTACAGTTTTGTTGTTTGTTTAGTGGAAGGAAACTCATTTATGCAACACATTTGACATAGTCACTGTTTTGGTGAAATTTTAATGACTTCTTGTGCAAAGTTAATATAAAACTTTGTGCAAGAAGTCAGTTCAGTCAGTCAGAAGTGATTTAACAAAGACTTTTAGTGTCACAGCCACGATTTAGCCTTTATTTTTTATTGAAACGTATTGAATCGATTTGAAATGTATCGTATCAAATCGAAAGTACACTGTATCGAGATATGTATCGTATCAGCAACTTCTTAATGCTACCCAGCCCTAGTATTGGCGGGGCTAACAATATTTAAATGAAAGCCCACCAATGTTACAGCTATACAGTTATCCAGACATCATGCATTTATCTAGTTCATAGAGCCTATTGAGATCAATGAAATCACAAAATCAATATTATGACGGTTATTACATTTTTTATTTGCCCTTTTCTTCCACTTTTGGGACCCCATTAAAACCACATCTGTAATATACCAGAACCATGTTAGGTCACTTCAGGTAGAATTGACACGCAAACCCTTTTAACCAATGGAGATGCTGCTTTGGCTAAGTGCCCACTGAGGGATGATTTCATGGCGGGGTGATCTCATAGTCCTTTAATAGACAGTGAGGTGGGCGCCGGGTGGGTGTGGAGTTGGATTGGGGGGGGGGGTACAGAGGATGACATCATGCATAGGGGATCGGGGTGACAGAGTGCGTGTGTGTGTCAGCGTGGATGTCGAGAAAGACAAAGAAGAAACAAAGCACGACTGTCAATGTTACGAGTGAGTCATAGCGGATGATCCAGGTACGCGATAATTAGCCTGCGAAAGCCTGCGAGAGCTTCACTTTGCTTCAGCTATAGCATCATCGTCCTTACGGTTTGAATGATGCAAATACAGTTTCTCTCAGAGCACTTTGAGAGCTTGTCATGGCCTGATTGAGTAAGTGTCGTGAAAGTTACAGCCTCTTATTACCGACAAAGTAATACGTCTAATGGCCTGTGGTAAAAGATACTTAGGACTTACTGGATGATGGTGATTTGTAAAATGTTGAAAGCATGTAAAAAAGTGACAACAATGAGATAGTGGAGTCCATTTCTACAAGTGGTTCAGTGATGTTTTCATCTCAACACTCAACGTAATATGGCAACACAAAGACAAATGTATCCTGATTTTGTTTCCTGAGTTTGAATTGTGTTTTTAGGACAAATTCTAAGACAAATTTTCAATTAGTGAGATTTCTGCCCCACCCAAATAACATGCATTTGCTCATAGATGATTGGTATAGACGATTAAAAGAGACAACCTTAACTTTACCTTAAGCTAAATAAAACATTTTACATTTTCTTTTATTTAAAAATTCTAGAAAGTCTTAACATTTCCATAATTCTTGGTCACAATGGCCAAGTGAAGCAAGAAAAACAGAAAATTACTAATACTGTGTCTGATTTTATAGAGGCTACAATACTTATTTGAGATCCTCATTTCTCATTTAATTTATTTTGAGGTAGTAAGTTACTTTGCAGATTAATGTGAAGCAAATTGATAAATAAACTGAGCAGTTCGCGCTCTGTTTGCTCTGTTCCACCTTGTTATGTGATGAGAAGGTAGTTTTCAGCTACCTTTTTACTTTTTGTTCATTAGAGGTTGGCAAATCCAGGTCTGAAATCATCCAAATGATTCTATTAAAAGTAGTTTAAAACACAGTGGAGCATTTCCTGTATTACCACATGACATCACAAGGTGGAACAGAGCGTTTTCTGTTTGAGAGAGTTTCGTTTTGTGTATTAAACAAAAACAAAACTCCAAGTATGTTTTAGATGAGGAAACAACATCACAACATAGATCAGAAAATAGTAGGGGTGTAACGATATCCAAATCTTTTGGTTCAATATTATCACGGTATCTCAGGGTACGATATTTATTGCGTTATTTTGGAGAGGCTCATATAACTGTAGATCGAACAGGTTTCTGCTTTTAAAATACCTTGATAAGATTTTGGTGTGAATTATTTCCATCATAATCTCAGGAATTCGAGTAAAAAGCATATCTCTCTATGTTGTCTGCACTGAAATGAATCATGGGATATGTAGTTCCCTGTATTTATAAGCTGTTGCTACTATAAAAGCATGCATTTAAGCAAAGAAACTTGTAATTTGATATATTGTGACAGCCTGTGATATTATTGTGAGACTTTTGACAATATCACAATATTTCGGTTATTGTGACATCCCTAGAAAATAGTACAATATGGGCTCTTTTAACTATGATCTAAAACCTGATGTATTTCAAATGGTTGCAGGTAGAATCCTTTGTTATCCTTGCTGTCCATTTTTGTATTTATAATGAGACTGCAGACAGCACCAGGCCTGTGTGAATATGCAGTGCCATCTCCTCTCACTTTGACAACTTGGCCGGATGTCTCTAACTGTAGCCTGCCACAAGGATTAGCAATGTGGGGCTATTTTGGATCAACCTTCTGCTAGCTTATGCATTATTTAAACTACTTTCTAATACCTAGTGTCCTTGTGCATCCCCTGTCCAAGATCTTTTTTTGTTCTTTTACTCAAGCATGAACCAAAAACTCTATAAATATTCATCTTTTGTCGACAGATTGTTCGCAAGCCAGAAGTCTCTTAATTAACGCTTTTTTCGTCAAGTTGTGTTTATTTATGCCAGAGTTTCCATGGAGATCGCGACCATCATTAATCATTCATTTCAAAATCGGAGCACCTGTTATAAGCCTCTGTGTAGGTTCACTCGGTGCAGGGCTCGCTATCCCATCGAGGTGGTAACCATGACGACGCAGAGACAGCGCTTCCTGGGTTGACCTACTTTTCCGTGTATAGTTTCTCTCGCCGTTACCTTCGACAATGTCTATGCTCTCCACTGCGCTGTTAACTACCTGTCTGACCCAAAGTCCTTGAAGAAAACATTTGAAGTTTGTGTCAAGTGTATTTATGAGGACACATTTTTATTGGGCTTTTGGTAACTTGAAGAAACACTTTTAGTTTACTAGGATTGGTTCAAGCTTAGTACGTACTCCTAACCCCTTAATTAAGCAAGGGTGAATCATTCTATTACATTATAAAGTAGATTTTGTCATTATACAAGGCTAAAAAAGATACTGTATTATTATGTAACTAGAGTTTTTTAACCTCACTGGTCTTTGATAAGCCACATGGGTTGGCTAATTAGACATGAATTGGTGGTAGTCTTTGAACTAACCCTATTACCATGTTACCTATGGCTTGCTTGAATCAGATTAAACATTATTTATAAAGTTCTTTTCATACTAAAATGTATCAGAACATGGTGAACTAGTTTCAGTGATGTTCGAGGAATACAGATGTTTTTTTCCAAATGTGATGTGGGTTAGAAAAAGAAAAGCCTTTGGTGAAGACATGTGAATTTAATATCAAGTATACTTTGTAAGAACACATTTTATTGCACTTTAACAGTTTCTTAACCTCCCTGGTCTCTGATAACTCCACGGTTTGGCTGTAATTAGACGTCATATGGTGGTAGTCTTTGAAATCTATTAGAAGCAGACGCCAGGTATTTCATCAAACATTTGAACCTGCTGCACCGTGGAACCAGGCGGTAATGAGATCATTAATTTTCACCTCATTTCTGTTTTTATTTGACTGGATGCTCGTTCAAGTGCCATTGGAGTAATTGGTGCTTCATACAGTGATGTAAATTACTAGAAAACAAACTGTGCAACAAACTGAGCACTTACTGAAAACTTGCATGGGATTTTTCATCAAATTTAAACTTCAGCAATAATTCATTATTAACAAACATTTTGCATCTGGCTTCTATGTATGCCTGTAATTTTTATATCAGTGAAGTTTTTTTTACATCAGATGCCCTACCTAAACACAATCCTTTCCCTTCAAGTCCTAAGGAGTAACTGGGTGTGTGTAACTTTTCAGGTGGAGAGTCTGTCACCTGCTTTGTCTTGATTATTTCTCAGTATGGAAATAAACTTGGTTATCACAATGGAGACAAGTTAATGGTCAGATCTATGGAGAAGCAAGCCTGCACATGGTAAGAACTGTTTTTCAAGATGTTTTTTTTTTTAGCTTACACCTGTAACTGAAAAAATACATGGCAGATATATTTAATGCCATACTGTGGAACATTCCATGCAAAGAAATAATATCACCATGGAAACAAGGAAGTAGCAGACCATCCATCTTAGAAGTTACATAGTACACCTTTATGATAGGTTTGTGTATTACTTCGCTTCAAAATCACTAAATTACTTTTTTTTTTTTTTTGCACTGCAGTGGACAAAATTTTAATGGGAGATATTGTAGTATTTGTAGTTGTAGTAACTTATACATTTTACTCTAGTTCAGTAGTGTATATATCAGTACTTTTATTGATTTACACATTATAAATATTCCTTCCTCCTCATGTTTTTGGTCAAATTCTGAGCTCATCTAACAAGATCAGTAAATGCATTTCTTTCTGTTCTTCCCGAGGTCTAATCCAATATTAAACATGATTCAAGCAGATATATTTGGACGAGAGCCAAAAACTCTCATCACGCTCAATGCACATTCATTTCCTGTGGTGTCAGCCAAGCACAACATTCAGCTTTATCTTTACATCTATGTTTATTAACAGTCTAATGCCGTATAAATAATGATTGAATCTCAGAAGTGCTCTTGGATAAAGCAGATCTACATTGTGTTCATTATTGATAGAGGCCTTTAAAAGCCAGCTGTGCCTTTCACTCCATCAAATATGCCTCGATGAATGCACTTGTGGGTACGTTTATTCATATTAGTTTTAAAGAGCATTTGTAAATACGGAGACAGCCTCTGCAGTGGGGATGAGCAAGGAAGTCAATGAAAATATTTTGATGTCATGCTCCAAAAAATTGCAAATGTGTAAATACATGGATTGTATCTGGGAATTTTAAGATGTATTTTGTTATATTACCACTAGGCAACAGGCTTTTTTGGTACAGGATATCATTGACTAAGGTGGACTAGTTTCCATGATGTTACAGGAATAAAATAGTTTCTTAAATGTGGTGTATGTACAAGTGTGGGTATATTTGCATATCTATAAACATTCTTGCATTAGGCTATAGATACATTTGATATTCAATGTTAGTTTCAACATGTTCTGGTTAGATATAGGGCTGTAGTTGACTTTTTGGTCAACTTAAGAAACTACTTGACTAAAATCAGGTGTGGAAATGACAAAAGCTCTAAATATTATTCGAATCACACCAAAATAAATCGATTTTATTGAGTTGTCATGTGATGGTCAGGATTGGCTTACATAAACAAGTATTTTTTTTAACATGAGCAACCAAAAAATAATGAATTCAATCATTCAAAATATCTATGTATAGAAAGTAATCGAGTCACTCCCAAAACTAGAGGACTCCATCCATTCTTCTTTCTGCTGTTGTGCTTATAAATTCCTATATTTGACTAATAAAAAATGTGGCTGCCAAAGATATTGCTGGCCTATTTATTTTACTAAATGACTAAAGAGCTACAGCCCTAGTTAGGTCTTGATATATGAGCATTTTTACTGCATATTGGCCAAAAAAGCATATTTCACGCCCTATGGTTTTTTCATATACATATCGATTCTTCGCTATCATCAATTACCCACTGTAGTCTGCAAAACAGTGACATTCGCTGCTTTGCTTTCTAACAAAACCTCCCAAATGAGAAAGCCTCTTGTTTGCACTCTGGTCTCTCCCACTGTACATTGTGCTGAGTGTGACTGTGAGAAGCGATGGAGCGTACCTTCTTTTGTTTGGTTAGACTCCTCCTTGTCCGCTGTGGGGCTTACAGCAGCAGGCACATCGGCTGGTCTGTCCTCCTCTGTCTTCTCTTCGCTCTTCTGCTCTTCCTCTGCTTTCTCCTCGCTCACCGGGACCGGGGTGGGCGCAGGGGCTGGGGGCGCCGTGGTGGGACTCTTGGCCACCTCCGCCTCTTTGGGCTTCTCCTCCACTTTCTCCTCCGCTTTCGGCTCCTCTTTCGGGGCTTCGGCCGTCGGGGAGGTGGCTGCCGGTGGAGCTACGGGAGATGGTGCTGATTCAGCAGGGGGAGCCGGAGAGTTAGCGGGCTTTTCTGGTTCGGGGCTTTTGGCTTGGCTCTCCTCCTCTTTCTTCGACTCTTCAGCGGGTGCGTCTTCCTTCGCTTCTTCTGTGCTCTTGGCGTCTTCTCCGTCATCCTCGACGCCGTTCACCACATTCTCTCCGTTGACGGGGGCGTCCTCTTCCTTGTCGTCTTCTCCGTCTTTCATCTTTTTCCGAGTTATGTGTCCGCGGAAGCTCGCCTGTATTTTGGTAGCAGCCTTGTGAGCCTTGTTGTCCTCGGGTTTGGCTGTCCCGTCCTGCTCGATTTTCTGGTCGGCATCCTCATTCTTCTCCACCTATAGTCCATAAGAAAAGAAAGCATTACAAAAACAAATACAGATCTAGTGGTACTTATAAAGGTGGAAAACTACTTGAGAATAGTTGTGGGAACAAATGTTACTTGTACTAAAAAGTAACATTTTTCAAACTCTAAAGATGTAAGACTTTATTGGCAAGACCACTACTGATGCCTCTCAAGATTGTCAGGAAATCCAATAAAAGAATAAAAGTAGTACTTGCAGCAGTGGCAAGCCTTGCCAACCATCTTTTCTTGTTTTTGTTTTGTTTTCAAGGGATTTAAAAACTATTGAAACTATCTCTAGATGAAATTCTGTAGATGGAAACCAATCAAATGTTTTGGGGTAATGTTCTTTTGAAATTCACACGAGCCGCAAGAGAAACAAAACATCAGCCCAATTTACATTTTTGGATTGGTGGGAAGGACCCATGGGTTTCAGAATGACTAGGACCATTTCCATAGCGGTTAACATTTTAAAACAAATAATTATATCCTTTGAATGGAAAAAAGTCCTAAAAATGCGGCATATAACACAAAACTGAAACCCATGAATAAATTTCTGCATAATTTCAAATTCCATTCCAGGTTCCATTAAAAGAAACTGCACTAGCATCATAGCGTTTCTATGTTGTTACTCAGGAAAAAGGAAAAATCTGGAATCAGTATAGGATATGGTACAGGAAAAACTAGGTCAGACAAAGCCAAGTTATTCCAAGAAGTTAAAATGTGAAAATAAATACATTATACAAGGCAAAGGACTGGGTGGAGAAAGGCAAAGGAGGAAGAGACACAAACTAAAATGCAAAAAGTGGTTCATGAGATTACCTGAGATACCTGGCTCCAAAGCTGTCCATCAAATACCAGGCTGTGTTATGAGGCTTAAACATCTAATGAAAACAAAATCAAATCAAATTAAAGGATGAATGAAGAGCAGTGACCGTGGCACACAAAATGAAGCAAAACATCAAAATATAATTAAGAAATAGTAGATTTGTCAAATAAAATGTGCACGATAAGCATTATAAATACAACTAATGAAGGCAGCGTATAGCTGTGGGGCAAATAAGAAATAATGCTTTCGCTGATGTAGTACTAATATTAGTCTGCTGAGCATGTAAGAATATATTTGAATTATTATTTTATATAAGAATCGACAAAGCAACACCATAAATGTGAAAGTAAATGAGTCAATTGTATAAATAAAAGATCAATGTCCATGTTAGAAGAACCAAATAACTAGATTTAGGTTTGAGTTTAGGCTTATCAACCAACACACAAAGCAATGCACTAATTCTTTATATTGGCTTTTACTATTGATTCAAAAGTTAATCCAGTCACAAGGGAATATAGTCATTTAGCTAGGCCCAAGCCTGTATACATATAAGATTAGCATAATTAAGGGAATTTGCCTAAGCCGCTATGCCAAATCAATACAGACACTGGCCACTAGTGAACATAAGAGAAGTCATTTTAATGTTTATGTATCTAAAGAAAGCAAAACGCCGACCAAGCTACAATATTTGACTCTGCAAGAACAGCATTTTTGAAGACAGTGTAAGAAATTGTATTTTAGTGTTTTCCAAAAGCGTATTTCCACATTGCCAAGTGTATCATTTCTAAGGAGAACAGTTGTAAGTAGCACCTTAGTCAGACGAAATAATAACACCACATGAGCACAGTGAAGTCCGACTGGCTTGGATGGAGTCTGTTGTTTGTGTGTTAGCTGACAAGGCTATGAATCCACAATGTTTTATGTAGCACTCAGACAGATTTAGTGGCAATATGAAACACCAGAGGACAATGTGTGTGTATGTTATTGTCTGCACATAATACATAGGACTGGGGTTGGAGCCATGTCAAGGCATTTACTGCTTATCCACATACACAAGACTGTCCTTGAGATACGATTAGGTGCCTATTTAAATCCACGAGATCGGTTCATTGAAGTCTGCGGCATCTGTTACGACTAATGTAATCTTTAAGACTATGAAAATGCGAGCGCTTGTTGAACAGTAATGAGGCATCTCTATTCAGTGGGTACAGTAGCTTTCTCTATGGCCTGGCATTCGGCTGCTAGGGAACTGCCGGCTCCAGTCTCCTCTCTCTCCCGCTCCCTCTCCTCAGCATTCACCACCATACCCCTCCCCACCATCAAAGGTTACCGTGACAACCGGAGAGTGCTAACTCATCACGGCGCTGTCTGCCGGTTGGTGCCGCGATGAAAGACTATATGTCACCGTGATTGGCAGCGCACCTGACCCCCTGCGCAAATCGGCCAATGGGAAGTCGTAAATCAGGCGGGGCAATCGGTGTAGCTGTTTGGGAGGGTGGGGGGTACAAGGGGTGACACCGGGGAGAGAGGGAAGGAGGGTGGGTGGTTGGGGGTGAATGGGTGCAGCAGTAACAGCAGGGCGCGGTGCTTAAAGGGGGGGCAAATGTGTGTGTTTGTAAATGCTGCCAGTATGTCACCCCAGGCTCTGTGATGTCTTGTTTAAGGTCAGTTTGAAATATACAAAAAGGCTGTTAATTTGCAATCTCTGCTTTAAGAAATTCTCCTTTAAATTTGTAAATCACACTTTAGATACTTTAGTTGACAGATTTTCACAATTTGCATTTGAAGTAGTGCAATTCTTGAATCAAAATCAGAAATGTACAAAATAGTCACCTTTTTGGTAGTAACTAAACTAGATGAGTGTAAAGAATTCTGTCCAAAGAATGACAGGAAGGGCATCTGGTATAAAAAGAAAAGACTTATATTCAATTACTGCTTAAAAGTGACACATGTTTTCTTTGTAATGCTTCAAAATGACAACGCATTCTTTGAATCGCAATCAACAATGTACAAAATAGCCTAAACCAGTGTATTCGTTGACTAGATGAGTGTAAAGAATCCTCTCCACAGAATGTGAGGAAGGGCATCTGGTATTAAAAGGAAACAAGGATGTTTCATTACTGTTTAAGAGTGGCATGCCTTTCTTTTGTAATGCTCTAAAATCATGATAGGTCTTTGTTACAGATGTCTCATTCTGCAGAGCGACTGAAATGGCTGAACAATACATCAAAAATTTATTTTCTCTGTGCTATGAACATGTACAGTATACATATTGCAAAAGCATTTGAAATGCGCCGCATCCAAGGCTTTCTTTGTCAATCATGATGATGGAAAATAACAAAATGCAATGAAATACACAGTGCAATGGAATCGAAGCAAGTTTGAAAAGCAATGTTTTCTGCTTAACTGTGCCATTTTGAAACTCAGTCTATTATAATGTGTTACTAAATGTTTAATAACAATATTGGCATGCATATTCTGAATTAACACTATCGCATGGTTGCTACTTACTACATTGAAGTGTGTTTTGTTAATATTAGGTTATTTTTTAATCAATAAATTCAGTACTTTTCGATATGGTGAAGCTTCACATTCACTCTATCAAAGTTGGGACTAAACCTGAAACTAAACCGGGACTAGACCAGGACTAAACAAGGCTGAACTGGAAGGAGTAAACTGGACTTAGATTAGGTTCAAATAAGAAACCACGTGAAGTGTGAAACCACGCTTAATCGAATATAGGGTCAATATTTGTGTAGCCTTTAAAACGTGATTTTAACTGATAATGATCTGAAATTGTGAAAATATACTGGTCTTTGCTTGGTCCTACTTGCAGAGACAAATGAGTCAGCTGTCCCATAATGCACAGTGGAGTGGAGCTATTTATTTCCTTTACATTTGGGACAGCTGCTAAACTATCCTCTGGGGAGCAACAAGGTTCAATTTAGATTAATTAACCTTTGGAGACACTGTTCATTTGGAGCTCGACTTTAATGTTTAACACATAGCACCTGTCCCTTGTCCATTCGTGAACATTCATATGCATGCAAAATATTATTAAAACATAGCTGATTAGTTAAGAAATATGGATGTATGGTATCTATGGCAACAACAATGAGGACGTGAACAGCAAACGCACTGCAGGCTAATTGGAAAAAGTGTTTCATTAGCGCCATAATGCAAATATGTGTGCTGCTCACCGCTTAACGAATTAAAGAGTCAGATCAAACAGCAAAGGGGGCTTTACTTAAAGAGGGGTGCACCTTGTCGCACAGTAGCACCTTTGGGAGACACTTGGACTGGTATTTATGAATGAAAATGTGTGCCGCACAAGTGGAACAGTGCCTGCAGAAAAGAGACGTGACCAGGGTTCAAAGACAGGCCATCGCAATCATATGGAGAAACAACACAGATTTTGGCATATTTTTAAGATTTTTGTGGTTCAGGTACTAATAATCTTATTTATCATGGTTCAGTGTATTTGACCTAAGCACTGTATCATGCATGTGAAGTAGAGAGAAACTGACAGGCAAGCATTTTTCAAGGATAGTGACAAGACAAATATCAATAATTCAAATCATGACACCACATTTGCGGGCAGACTATGGTAATGTCTATAGGGTCCACGCCCACATTTGAACAGATCACCCCAGCGGCTCAAGTAGTGGTGATGTCATCCCCTGTATTCCCAATCACAATCATGTATAGTGTAATAGCGTGAGTCATTGCAAAAAGCCAGTAAGTAATTCTATTTAGAGTTAAGTGCTTGGGTCAAATTTTGGCAATTGTATAAGCACCTATGAGATCAGGGACAATAAAACACCAATAAGTCACCAGTGTAGGGGAATACAAAGGGCGTGCCAGTGCTGCTGTGTCTACTTTGAACTCAATTTTTAATAGACATTTACACAGCAGAAATACTGGATTTTAGATATATCACTGTAAATAAGGGAAGCAGTATAGCGTGATATCTTTACCCTGACATGTGTTTTATGATGAAACCAGATTGGTCTCGGGGATAGTACAAATGAAGGTCCGTAGCAGGATTTATGACCTGGAGACCCTCAGGGATATAAGCAGTGGATATAGGTGGAGGAGGTGGCTATACCAATACACATGAACCTTGCTCTGTGGGCTCTAATATTGGACAGACAGTGACCCTGACGCGTACGAGATGGTTAGCGCCTCAAGCTACTAAATCATGTCGCCAATGACGTGGGCAGCACACATGAGGAGATGCTCAAGTGGCGGCTTATCCATGTGTTTTAGAGTGGTGAAAAATAACTGTTGCCATAGCAGTTAACAATTCAAAACGAAGTATTCTATCTTTTATGAATGGGGAAAAGTACTAAAAATGGCGCCCATGAAAGGAGCTGAAACACATGAATGAAAATCTTGTATTTGTTTTGTTCCAGTTTAAAGGACAAGATAAGAAGTTTGACAATTTAAATAGAAAATCTGTATTCAAGGGTTAATATAATTGTACTTGTGCTTGATCATAATGAATAGAGTGTTGATAAATGGTGCATATACAAGAATAGTTCATTAACCGGAGCCAAGACTAGACTCTTTTCAATAGCTCTGATTCAGTTGATTATATATGACATTTTAGCGGCAGAAAATCAATACAATTTGTTCCAGAAGTCATTTGGTATTACAGAAATAATGGGATTTGGAGAGCTGGTGGAGTACACTTCAACACTGCCCCAACATGTGCAGAGACGAATGAAGAAATGAATTAAAATGTCTCCAAAAATCATATTATAATATCACTAAAGTAATTATTGTATCTTAAGCAGTTTAGGTTTGTAATTAATTTTCAGTGCTAAAGTGCTTATTAGCCAAAATATAAAGCTATTTACTGCATTAGGCTAATTTTCTCAATTAGTGCATTTGCAAATGGTCCTATTTCCATTAGACACATAACTCTTCCAGCCTCATCAGCGCCTGTACGAGCAGTCTGCCTGTCTGTGTCCTTGGGTGGGCATCGGCTGTCGTGAGAACCACACCCCAAGAGTCAATGGCCTCACCGACTGATCCATAACTACACACGTACGCACAGATTACACACATACGCACCCGTACGCACAACCCCCGAAGACACTGCCACCTTCCCATGCCTCCTCCTCCTCATCCCTGGGCCATTAGGGACTTGTAGGGAGGAGGAGGGAGGAGAGCAGAGGTGCGTGAAAACTGAACCACGAAACCACAACTACTGCATATATTCTGCCTTTTTTGCTTTTAGTATTCTGCTCCATTCAAGTGAGAAACTGTGGTTTATTTGCCTCTTCGCTCCGCCCAGATGTGACACAAATGCACTGCCGCGAGCTGGAGGTGTAATTAGCTGTAGTTTCTGCTGTTGTAATGGTTTTGTTGAACGGTATTGCTTGGGTGAAATGTGTTTGGAACAAGTTAACAGGTGCTTTTGCTGTGCCTAGTATTGCTGTGTGAATTGACTGCCGCCTTTTTGCAAGAAGAACGGATAAAACCTCTGCTGGCATTATAAAGACACTAGATACTACCTACTTATTGATTTTTACATGACAAACTATGCCGTATAGACTTGTATCGACACCTTACTAATATATTCTTGGCTTGATTTCAATAGCTTTCCTTTCCAGACACTATAGACTGTCTACTGTCTGCCACAGCTTTGCATTTTCTCCTCCTCTTGTGGTTCAGCGATTTTTTTTTTTTTTTTTTTACCCTTGTACGTTCGTTCTCAAACCCAGCGTGCAAACTGCTACCCACTCATTTCGCTCTCCTCTCCTCCCTCTCTCCTCTCTCTCTTTCGCTCGCACTAGCAGACACAGCGGAGTACCACACCCATTCAGCCAGTTATCTTCTGCAGAAAAGGGGAGAGAGGGAGCGAAAGAGCGTGGAGAGGTGGGGGGATAGCTCAGCATTGGGAAAGAAATAACTGTATGTATGTTAAGAAAATAGCTTTTTTGCGAAGGGAAAATACACCCCTTTGCGACCAATAAGCAAGCATAAGCCGGTAGCGTGGTAACATCCTCTTTAATTGAATTACTCTCTCGCTGGTCGAACAAAAGGCTCCACAATCACCACATGATCTCATAGGGGCAGGGCAACAGAGAGAGAGGCAATGGATTTATGATGGACAAGAGAGAAAAAAGAAACTAGGAAGGATCAGGGCTGTGGCTATAGCTATAGGGATAGTGTTACAAAGCTACTGAAGGTGCTAAGCTAGATCTATACGGTGATATCAGATTAATTAACAATGTGGGTTCAGTATCAGTGGGCGGAGCTAAGGAAGGCAGACAAGGAAGTAGAGGTGGGTTTTCAGGATTGGTTGAAAATGGGTGGCTTTGGTCATGGCTTTCAAATTACATCATTTCTGTTCGTTTGCAGATCTTGAGTTGACACAAAATCTGTTATTTTTTCGATTTCACAAAAATATTCAATGTTTTTTTCTTTTATAAACTGCCATACACGCAAAAATAATGTGTCCTTCTCAGCTTCTCATTAAATTATATGAATTTAAGCTTCTTCAAAAAGAGTATATGGACATTTTTCAAAGTATAAGCGCTTGTATAGGACCCTGTTGGAGTGTGCACGTTGAGGGGAGGGGGAGCGCGCGGCAGCATTGGGAAAAAGCCGGTGCCTCACCCACATGGCTGCAGTGTGCCGTAGCAGCAGCAGCAGCAGTAGCACTGTTAGCAAAACCAGCATGTCTTTTCTGATTTTTTTTTCTCCAGTCTTGTTCGTATTCGCCTCCCACCTCTTTCTATCGCTCATCCTGTCAGCACTGCTACATTTGGGGGTAGTTTTCGAGGCACAATCTCATTTTCTACTTTGCTTATCTTTACAGCTACCTTCCCCCACACCTTTGCCTTCTCCCATTCTCACCTTTTCTTTCAGCTACCTACATGTGCTTTTCTGTCTACCGGAGCTCTTCCAGCGTGTCTGTCAAATTGGCAGTTCTAGCATCCTTTCTTTCTCCTATTGTCTCCAAAGCCGATGTGACTCACCCGAGCTGACATTTAAAAACAATTATTGGATTCCACTGTGTGGCAAAGCAAGCAGTTGTGTTGCCCATATAGACATTTTCTCATGCAATTCAGCCTGATAGAAAAGCATCTATCTGTGGCTTATCCAGAACCACCCAACGTGCTACTTTCACACCCTTTAAAACAAGTGCACACTCCATAGTCGCCTCCATTGACAGTGTGCACTTATGAAGCTAGAGGGCTATGATAATCCTTTTAACTCATTTATTCCCATTGTACTCCCCAGAGGCCACTGACACGATGGTGCCTCTCTCTCAATCCTTACCCCACCCTTTTTTTTTTTTTCTTTTTCGCTCTCCCTCACTGTGGAAAATTACTTTAGTGCTGCTAAAATGTCTGCCCAATGAAGATATTAAGACTTGTGCTGATTTGTCAATTAAGGAAGCGTTGCATAAAGGCTAATTGGAAGAAGTCATTATTACTGGAGTAGAAGCAAGCATGAGTTTAACCCACTTTGAACAGAGAATGCAGACAATAATATTTAATTAAATTGAACTTCTTTTGGTAAAGGATTCTGATCTGGAGTAAGTACAGTGTGAAGTCTGTAGCAGCATCTAGTCATGCGAGATAATCACATTAACTAGGCGTGTCTGGAGTCAAAGCAAGCCACAGCATTTTGGGTTAATCCTTCCAAAAACTCCAAACTTTCAGGCAAAATGTAAAACGCAGAGAAATCGATACTTTACCGGCTTGGTTCTTCTTATGCAGCACAGCATAGTTGTAGTTTTAGTCCCCGCTTTGTTCCTTTTCTAAATTCTTCAAGCTTCTTCTTTCTTCCAACTCTCTCTCACTCACTCTCTCAGTCTCTCGTGCGCGCTCCTCCGTGCACACTCTCTCTCACTCGTGATGGAGGCTAAGACGGGGCCCGGTGCAGGTATCACTCATCCCAGTTTGCGCGCGTCTCTTCAGCTAGCGGCTTTCTCACTGTATCTCTTTTCCACTCGCACCGCTCACAGGGACTTGGCCGATCCCACCCTATAAACCCCACCCTCCCCGGTTCTCTCCTCCTCCTCCTCTCCTCTCCCTCCTCCCTCCCTCCCTCGCACACACACGCGCTCGTCCCCCTCCCCATCACCATCACCACCTCTTAGTGATTCTTCTACATCTCCCCTATGGCTTTAACAGAAACCCCACCCTGCCTGTAGTGTCTTACTTAAAAAGCAATCACTAGCATATGATTTCCTTTATTGATTTTTAACTGCGTTGCCTGTTTAATACACCCCCTCCCGTTAAAACACAAAAGCCCAAATCCTGCCTTTTTATAAATTCTCCATTTCTTATTACGAATCAAAATCCATCCTAGCTCATATTGCGCGTGGATTTGTATTGGTGGATAGTAATGTTGGCTACACAGTGGTCTGGAGACATCCCCCTCTCCATACCCATACTCCGTTCTCATGGTAACACCAGCAGCAGATAAACTCGTACATTGGAGGAGGAGTAGCTGAGCACAAGGCCCGGGTGTGGCAGACAGGCAAGCAGGCATAGACCATAGAACCAACCAACTCCCACCTCAAACCTCCCCCTTTTTTTCTATATTTCTGGCTTCTTCGTGGCATCTAATGAGTGCCCACAACAAAAAAACATTTAGTCCATTTATAACCATTACTGTGAGCGTTGCAAAAAACACCCACACGCTCCCTTGTTTGCTTTTCATAATACGCACACATACACATAGTCGTATACAGTGTCAAGAGAAGTCCCCACCCCCGCTCTGACACCAGCAGCAGATGCTCGGTGCACAGAGGCAGGAGAGGAGAGAGGAGAGGAGGAAAGAGGAGAGGAGGAAAAAAGGAGGAGGGGAAAAAAAAGTATTCCTGGAGGGTTTCGCAATTCTAGTCCGTGACAGGATTATTTCATGCACTTGGCAAAGGGATGGAGTGTTAAGGGTGGTCTCCCGGTGGTGCCAGCAAATGGACCACCAGCTATTACCGACTGCTACATGAGCACTGTCTGACCCTGAACACTATATCGGTGTAATGTGGAGGTATATTTGAAAACAAATAGTGAAAAGTGGTAATGATGTGTACACCAAAAATGTTCAGCTCATAACTTAAACAACTTAAAATGTAAACCTTTGTTCAACATAAAATTATTTAAAGGAACACGGGTAGGTAATGATATCCAAGTGTCACAATACAATATCGTCACAGTTTGAACCTCACTTTACAATATTGGTGGGGAGTCTTACGATTAGAAACAATATCCAAATCTCTCGGTACAATATTTTCATGATATACATCTCACGGTACGATATTTATTGTGATATTTTGTGCAGACTAACAAAATTGTTAAAGTGCTACTTTGTCCTCTCAAAATGCCTTGACAAGACTTAATCCAAAGAACTAAGTTTTAAAAGTGCTTAGAACTGTAATTTCTTCTTGTAGTCTACACTGAAATGGAGCAAAGGATCATGGGCTATGTAGTTCCCTCTGTGTTTTTTTTAGCTACTGCTTCAGCATAACTCTTAATTTAAACAAAGAGACTTGTAATTCGATATTTTGTCATGGTCCATGAAATTATTGTGAGAACTTTGATGATACGATCATGATATTTCAGTTATTGTTACATCCTTAGAAATGGGACATCATATATTTATTTAAAGGTTCTATATTATGGAAAATTGACTCTTGTGAGCTTTAAGCCATGTTACAAAGCTGTTTCCTTCTCAAAATCACCCGTTGAGTTGTGTTCTGTTTCATCCACATGTTTAAGTAACTATTTATTATTAGTCTGTCTACATCTCCAAAACTTAAAATCCTCTGTTACACTTTGTGTGGTCATGAAGTGGTGTTTCAAGTTAACAGTTATCTTTTACCTTTAGTTCAGTAGAGATTGTCAATTCCAAGGATGAAGGCGAAAGTGTATGTTGCTTAAAAACACAGTGGAGCACTTTCTGTATTACCATATGACATCGCAAGTTGTAACAGAGTGAGGCCAGATCAGAAAATATGAATATGAGGAAATGTAGTTTATTCTGTTTTATAGTTCAAATAAATTCAAGCTCTTCTATATAAATGTATAGAAGAATGTATTTATATGTATATAACTCATTTTTAAATTCTTGCAGTATTTCTTTACAGTATAATATATAGCTCAAACATGACTCATGCTACTTTATTGACAGATATTTCTATTAAGCAGCAGTAAGCTTTGTAAAAATAAAATGACACAGAAATGAGGTTGCAATTATGTAAATCGGCTTTTATAGTGGTTTTGTTTTGACAGGAATCCATCTCCTTCCCACTTAAGGAGGAAAATGCAGTTATTAGTGATGTTAAATACTGAGGGTTCTACTGAGCTGTCAACAGCTCAACACATTTATTTCATGTGATTAAGTCCACATTGGAAACCTATTGTGACACACGTATTCATTTGTAACAATAAAAATATATTTACACTGAATTATTATTAGATTACACTATTACATAAATGCAAATTATAGCTGCAACAAAATCTAGGGAATCACTTTTTTAATTGTCTGCCAAACTTATCACTGTTAGAAAATGTCAGTTATTGTAAAGGGCCTATATTACCGTATTTTTTGGACTATAAGTCGCTCCAGAGTATAAGTCGTATCAGCCAAAAAATGCATAATGAAGAAGAAAAAAACATGTAAGTCACTCTGGACCATAAGTCGCCACTTTTTAGGTGAAATTTATTTTGTAAAATCAGAGACCAGGAACTGACATTTCATCTTGAAAGGCAAGTTATAATAATAACAATAGAACAGAGAACAACAGACTGTTAATGTCAGATATGAACAGTTAATTATAGCATAAATAACAGAAGAGAACAAGTTTACCAAACTCTCCATCTCACTCCAAATCATTAAATCCATTGACTTCTTCACTTCAGTGTCACTTCTGAACAACTCCATGACCTCTGGAGGTAAACAGCGCACTGTTTTTTCTTCTGTGTAGCTGTCGCCAGACTCAGCATCAGTTCCAGTTAGAATTATTCCGGCCTTTCTGAATCCCGACAGGATGGTTTCCGTTGTCTTTGTGTTTGTTTAAATCTTAAATTGTCAGTGATACAGAAGTAATGGTGCGATCGACTGACATGATACCAGACAGGACAGTGGCTCTTTCTCTTTCTTCTGTGGCCATCATGCACAGTAGAGTGCGACGTGACAGTGGTACAGGAGTACACAAGCCTAGAGCGTCCTCTCGCAGCTGTCAGTGTAAAATTTTTAGTATATAAGTCGCACCGCAGTATAAATTAAAAAAGTGCATTAAAAAAAGTGCAATTTATAGTCCGAAAAATACGATATGCTATTTTCTGATCTGTACCTGACCTGGAGTTATTTTGTTTAACATACAGAATTTTGAGTTATTCTTTCAAACAGAAAATACAATGTTCCACCTTGTGATGTCATACGTGTGATACAGTAAGTGCTTCACTGTGTTTTGAAACTCCATACATGTTCAACAGAACCTCTACATCTTCACTAATCTAAAGGTGTTAAGCTGTTAACTTGAAAACTACAACTGCATGACATAACTAGATGGAACAGAGCATTTTGAGCTTTGGAGATGTGAACAGACTAATAAACCAGGGTTACTCAAACATGTGTGAATGAAACAAAACACAACTCCAGGTCTGTTTTTGATGATATTTCAACATGGCTTAAAGCTCACAAGATCAGTTATACAAAATATGTAGTCATTTAAATTTTGCATCTCCATACACTGTTACAGCACTCCCCAAACCTCCTCTGTACTATGTGTTCCTTCAGTGTCATTGTGCCCTAGAGTCTGACACACATGGAGAGGAGATGCTGACTCTGCATCTTTCTCCCCTCTCTCTTTTTTTCTTTTGCTCTGCTTCTTTCTTTGCACATTCACACCATTCACACTGCTGCTGTATGGGACACCCTACACAGACATAACCAGGACTGGGGCACTGATGTAGGTCCAGACTCTAAAGCTGGTCCAATGCCATTTCTTCGAAGGAAAAAATACTGCAGAAAGGAGGAGAAGCTGTGTCTACTTTATAGCTCTGAAATGTCATGTCATTAAATTTAGGGGAGCTGTGGGAAAAATACAGCCCATAAACGTTCTTCTAATAAATTTTCTAAGAGGTTATAAAGCGATGGAAGTTACAGTTTTTGACACAAAGGATTCTCATATTGAACATTGTTGGAGCTGCTAGGGGTCTAAAGTGGTAAAAGATATATAGTTGATGTTAGAAAGTTGGAGAGAAATGTATGTTAAAGGACTGTATTTTCAGAGCTGTTATAATGTTGTTTCCTCATGAAAAACCTTTACTAGAAACACGGGAATACTTTCAGTTCTGTAATTGCCTATCATTACTGAACAAAAGTTAAAAGGTAGCTGTTAACTTGAAAACACTCGCTTCATAGCATCATGAGGTAGAACAAAGCATTTTGAGCTTTAGAGATCAGAAAATAGCAAAATATTGTACTTTTAAGTTCAAATGAGACCCCTGATCTCAGCACGTCACATTAAAAGTGCAATATGTAAAACTTCACCTGTAATTTAATAAATACCAGAAAAGCTACATAATGCACTTTTACCTTACATAATTTTAAATTGCAGTACAAACAAAAGGTTTGGACTTAATCATTCACAATGTGTTAATAAATTCAACTCCACTCAAGAGTCATAATCGTACAACAGTGAGGCAGAAAATTAATGCCATTTTAATGAAATTGTGAAGCTAAGCACATTAACTTTTAGCAGAGCACAATGCA